CCCCAATTTCTCACCTGATGGCCCCCCTGCGACTGTGCCTGTCTTAGGTTGTTCCTCCCTTGAGGAATCTTACCCGTCTCTGGCTAACCAGTCATCTTCTGGGGTCATACAGGGAAATGTAAAGTTGGTAAGTGAGAGAGAAGCAATATTTTTTGAAAAGGTTAGCTTTTTACTTCTTTGCAGATTTATGCCCTGTGGCTTCTATGCCCAGCACTTGTTTTGAGGTATCTTTACCACTTGGAAGAATTATGATACTCGGTAATTTTAAATATGAGGCACGAATTCTACTAAAGGGCTGTAATTAGGAAGGGAGAAGAAAAGCTATAGAAGTAGCAGACAGAAGAAAACATGAGAAGATTGTATTTCTTTGACATAAGTTCTTGTAGAGTAACATAAGCATGTATAGGTTTTAACAAACTACTAATTAGATTGCGTACACACATTAACAGAATAGGAATACAGATACATAATAAAAGCAGACCTACAATTACCGGCCATATCCAGTGAAACCAAGAAAACCAGTTAGGTAACCCAGGCATTTGTGAAAGCTTATCAATAATATGATGGATGTTGTCTAACTGATTTTGAATAGTTTGAGAAAAATCAGACAAATTAAAACAACACATTCCTGGAAACTGTTCACATAAGCACTGTAACTCGCACTTCTCCTAATTCTCGGTTGAGTTCTAACAATATAGAACTAGTCAAATTTGTTGTTTTACTGTATGCACAGGCCAGCTTAGATATCTCCTTCTGCATTCCAATGGCAAGTCCAGGAACTGGCGGGATGAATGCAGCTACAATTGCAACAGCACCAGGATCTTTGTTGAAGTTTTTTGATGGTCATCTTCTGGAATGTTTGGCATCTTTTTAAGACTATTCTTGGTAAACCCTCGCTTTCTCCTGCAGTACTTTTCATAGGGGAAATTGTTCTCTTCCATACTCCAATACCTCTTAGTTGAGAGGTAGTTTCAGTATCCCCTCAATTCCCCATTGCTCCTAATGGATCATTTTTTCCTAATCTAAGAAAAGGGTTTTCTGAGATTCCTGCCACTGCCTTCCCCTTACAGTCACCTGTAGACAGTCAGTTCTATCCTCCACACTTACATAAACCTTTGGAACTTGATCTCATTTATCTTGTCTGCCTTAACTCTTGCCAGGAGCTCTCATTATCACAACATCAAATTCCCTAATCACAATTCCAGTGATGTTTTCTTCTGTTCTCTGGCTATCACCTATATTCTAAATGCCTCCTGGCTTTATACTCATTCACTCTTCAACCACATTAGGATTGCTAGCCCTTCCCTACATTCTTTCAACATATCAGCCTTATTACTGATTCATTTCTGTCCTTATTTCTTTTCAGACTGATCCTGGACATGTATTTTCTCAAGGCTACAATCAACTCCCTTACCCTGTCCAACCACCACACCTTTACCACAACCCTCCACCTCTAGATTTGTCCTGCATTATGCCCTATCTCCTCCTCCACCTGGCTGAATACGCATTGCTGAAGAGAAATGGCCAATTGTGCTGACTCATTTCCTTATGGCTTATGAGATAATGCTCCAAGAGGTACTTGAAGATCTCTATTAACAATAGAATTACAAGGAAGGAAAGTCCAAGAGATGCAGTATTTGAAGGCTACACCTTTAGTTTGCTGTATCACTCAGGATTCAATTGCAGAAAATAGAATCTACTACAGGTAGATTAAACAGAAAGGATTTCCTCATCTGGAAGTGAAGGGCTGAAGAAATAGACTTTATGCTAAACTTCCAAGAGCAACTCCCTAAACCACCTGGAACTGCAAAGGAATCTGCCAAGAAGCTGTAAAAGCAGAAATTTGCCTACCAAATATGGAAGCCACTTTTATATTTGCTTGTTTTAGAACCACTCCATTTTTGTTACCATCAGGAATCCATGGCCCCAATTAAGAGGCTGTCATCAGCTATTGGCAAAAGAACCATACTGCCTCAGCCACAGTCTCCAATGATGTGCATGCCTTGCATTTTGCTTTTCCTCGCACACATTGATTCAGTTTCGAAACCAAGTCACAGTTGAGGGCATCTAGATGACTGATGGAATCTTAATCACTTGTCACCCTAGCTGCTAGGGAGTCTGGGAAATATAGTTTATAAGTCTCTCATCTGCATGCTAGAAAGGGTTGAATACATGTTGAGCAAACCTATGTGCATTATCCACTGTGCTGCTCCTGTCCTATCCTAAAAATCATTGAAAGATTCTCCAACATATAGGATTTTAGATGTTGTGGAAACCAGCCTTAAAATTGGCCCCCAGTGATCCTTACCTCTTGGTATCCATGCCCTATATACTCCCCTCCCACAATGAATAGGGCTGACCTGTGTGACCAATAGGATCCTGTCAGAGTAAGTGTGTCTTCTAAGGTGGTCATAAGATATTGTCACTTCCACTTTGCTTGTATCTCTTCAACTAGAAGAAGCCAACCACCATGTTATGAGCATATGCAAGTAACTCTGTGGAGAGGCCCATGTGGGGAAGAACACAGCCCTCTTCCAACAGCCCTACCAACTTGTCAGTTGCATGAGTAAGTCACCACAGAAGTGGACCCTCCAGCCCCAGTCAAACCTCCAGATGACTGCAGCCTTGGACAACATCTGACTGCAACCTCATGAGAGGCAAACCAGAACTGGTCAGCCAAGCTGCTCTCAAATCTGTGACTCACAGACATTCTGAGACATAATAAATATTTATTGTTGTTTTAGCCACTAAGTTTTGAGGTAATTTTATAGATGCAGCATCTGGGACATTAATGCTTTCTTCAGTCTGCCTTGGGTGACCTCACTGCCCTTATTCTCCTTCAGTTGCTACCCCATTCATCTAAGCTCAGGCTCAAGGGCTGAGAGCTTGTGGAGATGAAATCTGCAGTTGTTTTGGAATGGCCTGGATACCTCCACCTTCTGGCTAGCCTTCACTAGCCTTCTGATAATGGTCAAGCAGCTACTATTGGACCAAACCCAGCAGACAATTATGCCTGGACAGAAAAATAAAAACTACCTGAAGGCACTGGAAACTGACCAAAAAGCAAGCACACACTGGAAGCCTGTCATCACTTAGAAGGAGGCAGTTATCCTAGGTGAGTCATCAGGGTGTTTGGGTTTCCTAAGGGCAAGTTGCAGTATGCAACATGCTGGGCTTATTCAGGAGGCATAAATCAAGATAGTCTTACTGGTTTGAAGAACCAGAGGAGAGAGTAGGGGTGACCATAGCCACTGAAAAGTCAGCAGGGACATCTCAGAAAGGAGATAGCCAGAAGGGGATGGGACAGACAAGGGGAACCCCAGATTCTGTATATAAATTACATGGAATTCTCACTCATTGCCGAACCACACATATGCAGGCCAGGAGTGGGGAACAGATTCCAAGTGGCCTAGCAAAGATTAAAAGAACTGAACTGAAATTCCTGCTCCCGTGTACTGAAGCAGACAGTTTTCAGTTTGAGTTCAGCCAATTTATCTGTTTATCACTTCACCACACACACAAACACACACACACAAATTCTATACTAAACAGTGTGAGCAAGCAGAACTGAGGATTTGTTTGTTTTTATGGAGTCCAAAAGGTCCATAGAAATATCCTATAAGATCTGTAGTAACTAGTCATCTAGAAGACAGCCTATTAATTAATCATTAGAAATGCCCCAGAATTTTGGTGTAGACTATTTATTTATATATATTGAATAAGTTTGACATAAAATTGTGTGACTTTAAGGTGTACAGTGTATTACTTTGATATTTGTATATTGTAATATGGTTGCTATTGTGATATTTATCACATTGCATGATTATAGTATGTATTACTGTCTGTATTCTTTATACTGTGCATTAGATCTCTATGGCTTATTTATTACTCATTGTAAGTTTGTACCTTTAAACAATATCCATCTTATCCCCTGCCCCATATCTACTGGAAACCACCATTTTACTCTTTTTTTTTTTTTTACAGGTGTGACTTTTTTAGATTCCACATGTAAGTGATACTATATAGCACTTGTCTTTGTCTGACTTATGTCACTTAGCATTAACTAATTAGCATTAGTTCAAGGTTCACCTATGTTGTTGCAAATAACAGGATAGCCTCCTTTCTCATGGCTGAATAATATTCCACTGTGTATATAAGTTACATCTTTTTTATCCATTCATCTATACTGATGGGCATTTGGGTTGTTTGTGTATCTTGGCTACTGTGAATAATGCTGTGATAAACATGGGGGTGCAGGTATCTCTTCAAACTCCTGTTTTCATTTCCTTTGGGTATATGCCCAGAAGTGGAATTGTTGGATCATATGGTAGTTCTATTTTTAATTTTTTGAGGAGCATCCATATTGTTTTCCATAATGGCTGGACCAATTTACACTCCTGCCAATAGTGTATAAGGATTCCCTTTTCACCACATCATCCTTGCCAGCACCAGTTGTCTCTTCTTAATGATAACCATTCTAATAGGTGTGAAATTATATCTCATTGTGGTTGTGGTTTGTACTTCTCTGATGATTAGTGATGTTGAGCATCTTTTCATGTGTTTGTTCACCATTTTGATGTCCTCTGGGAAAACATCTAGTTGTTCTGCCATTTTTGAATTGGGTTTTTTAATTGGATTTTTTTTCCCTGAAGTTGTGTGAGTTCTTTATATATTTTGGATATTAACCCCTTATCCAACATGTGGTTTGGGCAAATTTTGTCCCATTCAGTAGTTTGTCTTTTTGTTGTTTCTTTTGCTGTGCAGCTTTTGAGCTTGATGTAGTCCCGTTAATCAATATTTGTGTTTTTTTGTTTTAGTATCATGGCTGAAAAGTCATCGGGAAAACCAATACTGAGGAACTTCTTCCATAGAATTTCTTCTAGAAGTCTTATGATATCAAGTCTTATGTTCAATCTTTATTCTACTTCAAGTTAATTTTTGTGAGTGGTGTGAGACTGAGGTCCAATTTAATTGTTCTACATGTGTTTCTCCAGTTTCCCCAGCACCTTTTGTTGAAGAGACTATCCTTTCCTCACTTAGTGTCTGTAGCTCCCTTATATGGAGGTATGATCCTTCTATATCCAATCTGTTCATGGTTTCTATCATGAAAGGATGTTGTATTCTGTCCAATACTTTTTTCTGTGTCTATTGAGATGGTATGATTTTTATCTTTCATTTAATTGATGTGATATATTACATTTATTGATTGGCGTATGTTGAACCATACTTGCATCCCAAGGATAAATCCTACTTGGCCACAGTGTATAATGCTTTTAAGGTGTTCTTGAGTTTGGTTTGTTAATAATTTGTTGAGAATTTTTACAACTATATCCATCAGGGATAGTTTCTATAGTTTTCTTGTGGTATCTTTATTTGGTTTTGCAATCAAGGTAATGCTGGCTTCATATGGGAGTGTTCCCTCCTCCTTGGTATTTTGAAAGAATTGGAGGAAGATTGGTGTTAATTCTTTAAATGTTTGGTAGAATTCTCCAGGGAAGCTGTCTGGTCCTGGAGTTTTCTGTATTGGGAGTTTCTTAATACCAATTCAATCTCTTTACTTGTTTTTGGTTTGTGCAGATTTTCTTTCTTCCTGATTCCATCTTGGTAGGTTGTGGGTTTCTAGAAGTATATCTGTTTCTTATAGGTTATGTAATTTATTGTCCTATAATTGTTCATAGTAGTCTCTTATGATTTTATGTATTTCTGTAGTATCAGTTGTGTATCAATTGCAATGTCTCCTCTTTCATTTTTGATTTTATTTATTTTTCTCTCTTTTTTTCATAATCTAGCTAAAGGTTTGTCAATTTTGTTCATCTTTTTTGAAGAACCAGCTCTTAGTTTCATTAATCCTTTCTGTGTTTCTGGTCTGTATTTCATTAATCTGTATTTTGGTATTTCCTTTCTTCTGCTAACTTTAAGCTTAATTTGTTCTTTTTCTAGTTCCTTAAGTTGTAATTTCTTAATATATACATTTATTGCTATACACTTTCAGAAATGCTTTTGCTGCACCCCACAAGGTTTGATGTGTTGTAGTTCCATTTTCATTTTTTTTTAGATAATTTTTTATTTTGCTTTTGATTTCTCAGTGTCTGGAAATGTGTTATTTTTAGTTTCCACATATTTGTAGATCTTCTCTCTTTCATCTTGATTACTAGTCTCATACCACTGTGGTCAAAAAAGATAGTTGGTATGATTTCAATCTTGTTAAATTTACTAAGATTTTTTATGTGTCCTATCATATGATCTGTCCTGGAGAATGTTCCATGTTCACTTGAGAAGAATGTGTATTTTGCTGCTTTTGGTTGGAATATTATATATATGTCTGCTAAATCAGTCTATTGTTTTAAAATATGGCTCAAATCAAACATTTGCCTGGTGATTTCCTGTCTGGACAGCAAAACTATTGTTGATAGTGGTATACTATTATTGTATTGTTGATAGTGGCATACTGTTATTGTATTGTCTACATCTCCCTTAAGATGTTGAGTTAGCTCAATATATTTCAGTGTTTAGGTGTTGGGAGTGTATATGTATTATGATTGTTATATCTTCTTGATGTATTGAGCCCTTTATCATTACATAGTGACTGTCTCTTATTACTGTTTTTGGCTTTAAGTCTGTTTTGTCTGATACAAGTATGGCTAAGCCCACTTATTTCAAGGAAGAAGAAACTAAAAGTATCATGTTCTATCCCTTTACTTTGAGCTTATGTGTGTCTTTAGAACTTAAATAAATCTATACCAGCATATACTTGGGTCTTTTTTTTTTAACCCATCCAACGATGCTGTGCATTTTGATTAGTGAGTTAAATCCATTTACATTTAGGGTGATTATTGGTATGTAAAGACTTAGTACTGCCCTCTTCTCTTTTGCCTTCTGGTTATTTTGACTTTTATGTGTCTGTGTTTGTCTACTTTTGTAAGTTGGTTTTCCATGGTTTACTCTGTTTTTTTTTTAATGGTTTGTATCTCTGCTCTAGATTTTTGCTTTATGGTTATCATGAAGTTCACATAGCAGAAAAAGGACTATTTTATCTTCATTTTCCTATAAATGTTCCATCCTTTTATATTTTTGATGTCATAAATTACTTTTATATTGATTTCAATACTAAATTGTATATTTTAATGTTTTTTACCTTTATGCTATAATTATTTAATTTACTATTCTAAAATAGAGTTGCAGTTTTTTAATCACCTTAATCAGTTTTGCATACTTTCATTTTTCACTTCAGCTTGAAGAACTCCTTTCAACATTTCTTGTAAGATAAGTCTAGTGGTGGTAATCATCTCTTTATGTCTGGTAAAGCCTTTACTTCTCCCTCATATCTGAAGGATAATTTTGCTGGATTCTTGACTGGTGAATTTTATCTTTCACTGGTTTGAATATATTATTCCACTGTCTCCTGGCCTATAGCGTTTCTGCTGAGAAATCTGTTGACAGCTTAATGGGAGTTCCCTTGTAGGTTACTGTCTTCTTTACCTTGGTTGCCTTTAAAATTCTTTATCATTCACTTTTGACAATTTTACTATAATGTGTCTTAGAGAATATCTTTTTTTTTCTAGTTTAACTGTCTTTTTTTTAAAATTTTTTAATTAAGGTATGATTGATACACACTCTTATGAAGGTTTCACATGAAAAAACATTGTGGTTACTGCATTTACTCATATTTATCAAGTCCCCACCAATACCCCAATGCAGTCACTGTCCATCAGTGCAGCAAGATGCCACAGATTCACTTTGTGC